AACTGGGTTCTCCTGCTTGTGTAGCATGATACAGAGTCCTGTTGCCAGACATAGGATCTTCCAGTAGTCACCCTCTTAACCCAGGGAGTTCTTTTCTTATCAAAACGATCAGAGTTTTTTTTTTCCGAGTTGCCGTACCTTCGTAATCACCATTAAACTCATCCAACTCTTTCCGAATTCTCTGCATTGTCCTCAGATTGACACTCAGAAATGCGCGAATGCCAAGCAGTACAACATACCGTTTCCAAATTTCTGGCGGAGGGAATTACGTCATAGGCACAGTCTGTGAGAAAAAGAGCACTAACTGTACAAGCGACAAAATAAAAAATAACGCGCATTCCCAAAATATAAAATGGCGACAAATTTGGTGCGATGGGTAAACACACACCGTATATACTCCTGTAATGTGCGATGTCGCGTATCGTGCGACCCCTCAAATTTTCACTTATAAAAAATTATTTTATCTAGTGTATCATGCAAGTTACTTTTTTTTTCTTTCTTTTTTTTTTTTTTTGAGAGACCAAATTACAATAGACTAACTTCTTTTCCTCCATCTCTTGATCCCATCTTCTAGTTAAAAAAGGTAATGATAAAAGTATCGTTAATAACGCTATACTCGTTGCATAAATGCGTACAGCCATAAACAACCGAACGAGAAACAGCAAAACATAAACGTATACAATGGAACAGATCCGTATTCGCTGTTTGTATTTTATAATACAATACTAATGTGAATATTACATGCAATATTATTGGATACAGTTAACTAAAACATCAGTTTTATCAAAATCATGTTTATTTTAAATACAGCTGTACTTTTTGACTACAGTAAATGGATATATAGTTTCATCAACGGCATAGTCAGGGCCACCTAATACGCTAATTTTATATCTCGTGTATGATGCGACCCCCTTAGAATTAGCTTCAAAGTTTGGTCTTCAAAAGTCACATGATATGCGAGTATGTACGAAAATAAAATTCTCGCATTTGCCTTGATAAAGTCCCTCAGAGGACGAAACGGGTTAGCTAAGTTTTCCTTTTGTTTTTATTATATTGTCCTTTTACAGATCTAATATATATATATATATATTTGGTTGGATAGATGTGAGTTTGTGACCCTGGGTTTCACGCTTTAGCGATCGTTAGCGTTTGTCTGACGATCGCTAAAGCGTAAAACCCAGGGTCACAAACTCACATCTATCCAACCAAATATGTTAGCTCTATCTCTGATATTGAGCGCTTTCTAATAAGTACCGCGCATATAATATATAAATAATTATACATATATATATTTGTTTATATTTATATACACTTTTCACACACACACACACACACACACATATATATATATATATATATATATATATATATATATATATAATGTTCACACACACCGAACCTCACGTTCGGTACCAAATATGACTGAGGCAACCCATGTATTAAGATTCACTTCCGATTCGCTCTATGACATCTTGTAAAGGACAGTGAATGTTATTTCAAAATTGTCTTGAACAACCCATGTTACGCAGCTATACCTCAGCGCACCAACGAATTAGACATTCTATGTTACTGGCGGAGATATATATATATATATACTTTGAAAATGTTTTTTAAAAGTAAATAGATGTAAATTCCCCTCTGGATAACTATCTAACTTAATTATCTGCCCCTTTATACACTATTATTACTTTTTTTTATAGGACATGACCTTATCTGTACTATTACTACTACTACTCCAAAATTCCAGAACTATTCCTATTTTGGATTTGATTGTATAATTACTTTTGACACAGAGCCGCAAGCATATATTATCCCGTGATGTTTTAACTTGCCACTCAAGAATAATGATCTTTGAGACCAGCTTGTTGGCCATAACACCATCATGAGTTATCTATCCATACGCAAGCATACAGAATGTCACCAATTTTGAAGAGGAATAAAAAAAAAAAAAAAAAATTAATGGGGAAATGATAATCTTCTACAAATTTATTTACACTGTTTACATTGCTCGGACTGTTGTCCACATCTTTTTTGCCATATTCACGACGTTTCAGCCGTTGTACGCTCCGGTCTTTTTCAGGTGATTGGAATTTCGAACTGAATCCTTCGTTCACCGGAATAGATTGTTCTAGTTCTACGTGCCATGCTTCTTCCGAATGTCTCAGTGTCAGTTATCTCCCTTTAACTTAACTATCCAAATTTTTGTTCATCTCTGCTGTAGCCAGGTATTGAACTCCCAACTCTTTGGGTCAAGTCACTGGATTCAACCAACTCTTTTATCCATTGAGCCAGTGGATAAAAGAGTATTTGAATCCAGTGACTTGACCCAAATGAGTTATCGAAATTTATAGAAAATAAGAAGTTCGAAACGGTTCTTAAAAACTAAAAATTACTTTTCTAAGTTACCACTGGTTAAAAATAGATTTTAATTTTTATTTAATAATTGAAGAGGAAAAATATTTGCAGGGATTTGATCCTTCAATCTTTCTATAAAAGATCGTCCTCTTCTATGTGCCGTATCTCTTCAGGACGTTGGCGATCGTGGATCTCCACAATTGTAACCCGTAATAATTTTTTTTGTTATCTCCCCTACACTTTTGTTCCGCAATCCAATTAGTTCGCTAGGTAGGTTATGCATTCTTTTTCCTCTTGCCCTTAATCTGGCCAGTGAGTATCAAATTTTCTTAGCCTTCTTTCCTCATCATGTACCCTAGAAATTTCAACTGCCGCTTCCCGTTTTTAAGTATAAGTATCCTTTTTGTTTCCATTTTCTCTAAAACTTCGTCATTGTTCACATATTCGGTCCATGCTATTCGCAATATCCTTCTGTAGAACCATATTTTTGCTTATTCAAGTCTCTTCTTCATCATTAACCAGCATTTACTAGCACATAGGAGGTCTGATTTTAAGAGCTTTCATTGCTTAAAAACAATAGAAAACAAAAATTACAACTTCATTTCTGTAGAAAAAAAAACCTTTTATATATAACAGGTTCACTGGAAGTCCGTTGCAGTTTCCTAACTGGATTCTGCATCTCATTCCATATGTGCCGGAGAGGAAGGTCATGCAATCAAATGTGTGGGTCACTTCCTGACAAATTGAAGTCCAACTTAAACAAATTCACGCCATCGGCTCTTTCTTCTATTTTAATTTTCTTTCACCTTCAACCAACTTTTGCAAAGCCAAAAGGTGATAGGTAATGGATGACGGGAGCAGGTTTTGTTGAAACTGGAAGCTTCCATTCCTGAACCTGCACGTTGGAGGTGAAGGTAGTAATCAATGCTATCATCAAAGAAAGTGATCAGCAAAGAAAAAAGCAAATTCTTGGATACGAGATAAAGCCGCCGCCGGCGATATATATATATATATATATATATATATATATATATATATATATATATAATGTGTCTACATTTAATAACACTTCTTACTTTTTATGTGCCATGTCCTAGATGACGTAGATGATCATGGCTCTCCACCTCCCTCTAGCCCTTGCAACTCTCAACAAGTTCCTTCCCTCTGCTTCCTCCCTCAGACCACGTTCTGTCATCCACTTGCTTAAGTCCGTCAAGTACGTCACGCGTTGTTTTCCCTTGTCTCTCTTTCCCTCTATTCGACTCGTGAGTATCAGATTCTCCAAGCCCTTCTTCCTCATTATGTGTCCCACCTTGACTCTATCATAAGAATTGTGTAGATACTACAATTACTTCTCTGACTCATCGTTTATTTGAGCTGAGTTTTTCTTTCCCTTAGATAAAAATATTTACGAAAAGATAATGTTTGTTATAATTTTGACAGTATTGGAGAAACGTTATTTCGTCTAAAAATTAAGGTTTCAAAATAAGTTAGATTGGTTTACAAATAGCTTAGTTTGGCAGAAGACCATAAGGGTGGAGTACCTAAAATTGATATTACTTAGTAGTAATTAAAGGTCAGCGTCGACTTACGACCACGATTGGTTACGACTTAAGGTTATAAATCAATCTGGTCGTAAGTCGACATGTAAATAATTTTGCAATCTTTCTCTAGGCATTATTGTATTTCTTTAATTAATTTTTTTTTACGATTTCTTTACGTTTACTACCATTTGTATAATTTCTCTACACATTGTTTTGTTTCTTGATTATACGTCAGGTTTAAGTCAAACACTGCATCCTACAGTGCAGTTGATTTAATATTTGCTGAACATATGAAAGAAAAAATAAAGGTACAAAAAATAGAAAACATTTTAGTTGCAAAACATATCAAAATACATACAAATATAAACATCTTATTAGCCGCTGGTGCTTGGTTGTCGATGTCGTCGTCGTCGAACAGTTGTAAGTCGATGGCGGCCTGTATTTGGAAAACCACTTTGCTAAACATGCTACGTCAAGCGGAATTTTATATATTTTAAGTTAACGGTCACATAAAAAAATATTATCCAACCAAACTGCATATTAATGTTAAAATGAAAATAAAACAGTTTAGTCCATACTGTGGTATCTCCTACAATGTCCTTGTCCAATAAGGTACAGATTTGTAAGTGTTTATAAAATAGTGTTCACAGTTCAGATATGCTACAGAGAAATCTCACCTGTGACTGAAAATTGAAATTAAGAAATCACTATGTTAGTAATCTTGCTCTCAACACCTGCCTTTGAAGAGCAAGAGACTTAATCCCCTGGCTATAGGTATATCTACCGCTATAAGGAGATATGTGGAAACTTGTGCGACGTACATATGCAGATCGCCAACGAGTCGAGTGATTGTGACAGCAGTGTTGGGAAGGCCATGGCAACAAGTTGGAGCTGAAGTATCTGGTCGCACAAAACACGCATAGCAATTTCTTTCTTTTAGATTAATGAATTCACCACATCTATGCCATGGAAATCAGATGGTATTCTCACCCATATTTCCTGGGTGGTCGCGCGAGCTGTCAGTCCATAAGCACCTCCACATATCGAGGTTGTCTGTAAGTATATGTCGTGAGATCTTACTAGGCCTTTCGCATAGTTTACAACACACTTGGTATTCTCCAGTCACCCATCTGAATACTGACCAGGCTCAAAGTTGCTTATCTTCGGTGATCAGACGAGAACTGATGTTTCAACATGGCTAGATAGTATTAATCCCCCAAATGAACTGTGTACTGGATTTGAGCGCATCAATTAAATAATTGGGCGTTTTTAATGACCTTGTACCAAATTTGGTTTCGCTTAAATTCTCTTGGTTTGTAATTGATTAATCAATAGGCTGGGCCTCTCACCACGGGTTAATGGTTAGTAAACTCGTCTGGTTGATCAGTACTCCCGAATAGTGAGTTTGATTCTTACTGGATGATTTACACGAGTGGCCTTATGGCAAACTCAACATACTCAATCCGTTACGAAAAATCTCCGATTCATTCTTGCTAGAGAACATTTTCTCCTGTCAAGTCATCCTTCTAACTAAAGGACAGACTCTCAAGAGCTAACTTTATTTTTTTTTGTAAGTCCAAGGAGGTGCTGAAAAGTACTCGTCCCGATCCACTTCCCCAAATCTCACCTAACACCTGATATTTTGAAAGGGTTTCTTGATCGGGCCGAAAACTTTACCACGCAGCCTTCATACAATAATTGATTTTCACCGCATAAAAATAGAAAAACTAGCAAGCAGTAACCATATACAACGAAGCTTGTCATCGATTGGCTAAAATGTGAATCAGTCGTTTGTTGTCTTTACCTAATAAGCTACAACACATTTTTTCCTAATTTTTTTTTTTTTTAAACGATTTTTTAAGCTGTGTAGGTTGGTTCGTTCAGGATAATTTTCTCACGTTTTTCATTGCAACGTTTCAGCTTTCTTCGGGTGTCTGTTATATTTTGGAATGAATGTCCAAAACGTGATATAAACTTCCCTACTGCACATGTCCCCGCGATTCTTTCAAACTGTCCACTCCTGACCTGTACGTCAAATTTGTGACCTTTCAATGAACTTGGCGAATTTCATCCCTACTCGCATTTCGGAAGTAATGAACCAAAAGAAACCGTGGTAGTACTTTCTGAAACTTCCATGTGTTATTGATATCTGCGGTTAGCATAGATATCAATAGTTTATAGAAGGTGCATTATTTTAGCATGGCAATAAGAGACCAGCCTAGGTCACCCAGTGAAGAGCAAGCTCACTATACGATTAGTTTTGAGGCTAGACGATGTTTGTAACCATTCTTCCACGTGAGGTACTCCTAATTTACTGAGCTCAACTGGGTCGAGTATTAGGCGGTAGTAATAAAATCCTGTGGATGAGGGTAACGTATCAGTTATCGACACAAATGGTGGAATCGGTGAGTCGAGTTCAAGTTTCGGCCAAGTTTGTTGTGTTCCTTTCGGAACCTCTTTTCTACCTTTTGAAAAGGCAAGAAACAATTCCTTCTTCACACCTAAATTATTGGTTAAAAAGCAAAGTATACTGGCCGTTGTTAACTTTAATGGCAGCCAGTCTAGGAGAAGAATAATTCTGAAAAACCGCGGAGAAAGCAAAGCAAAAATTAATCGAGTGATTTCCGATTGCCTTCAAGATTGCTTGCAACGTGTGGAAAGGAGATGGGCATTGCCAATTCCTGTTACCTTAAAGAAATCGTAAAGGATCAAACATGGTGCCCTGACAATTTATAGGATCATGAGATAATTCGATTTGATTCAGTTTAACTTTAATATGACGTTGTTTTTACATGTTTTACTCAACTCCGACCTAGACTAAAATGTGGGAACCTAGTAAGAATCGTAGCCATATTCCAGCAATACAAATCAGAAATCAAAGAAATATGTGATATGATGGATGATTGCAGAGTTTATGTGGAATCAAAGGTTCAACGACTCAAAATTTGATCAGTTTTGACATCAAATCATATTATATTTATATCCTGTTTAATATTGGTTCTTGAATTTGTATTAAACTGAAAAAAAAAAGAAAAACATTTCTCATATTATTTTCTAGGGGATATTATTATTTCCCACCAGAATTAAAATCAATCAACAGATAATAAAAGAAAATGAATTTGAGGAAAACCATGATCACTTGCGTCCTAAAGAGACTTATTCTATGTGTTATGCGCTGTTCGGGTTTTCACGTTGTAACACCGGTTCCCTGTACGATCATCAAAGTTAAGCAACGTTGAGCCTGGTCAGTACCTAGATGGGTGACCGCTTGGGAATACCAAGTTTTGTAAGATTGGATGTGCGGATACTGTAATGGATAATGGCTCGGAATTGTTAATCGCAGAGCCGAGTTCCAATTACCATTGTGTTCGTGATATTCACTCACGCGCAAATACTCTTGGGAAAAGTATCAATCCACCTCTTCTCGTTCAGCTATGGGTTAAATAGTAAGACTTGTATATGACTAAACCATTATCTCCCCTCTACCCAATATTTTTAAAAATTAATATATATATATATATATATATACACAAAAAACTTGAGTTCCATCTTCCAGCCAGCACCTTTCCATTGCACTAATAGTTCCGACGTTTCATCTTGCAAAATTCTCACTGTTAGCAAAATTTTTCTGAATCTCAAAACAACAATGTCTCACTAAGATGGAAGAGACTTTTTTCTCGGGGAAAAACGAAACAAAAAAAATCGTAGAAATAGTAAACAACCTTTAAGTAAAAATATTTTATCAAGATGAAAACACACACTTTTCATCCAAATGACATGTTTAATCAATGAATAAAAAATTAAAAGCAACTATCTATCGAACAATTTGTGATTGCTCAAGGGTAAACGCTCAGACAGTACTTTTAAATATTATAGACATATTTACTATATTTTATATTCGGTTGAGTTAGCTCGAACATTCATGAATCTATCACGGCACCATCACGGTCCTGCGTCGGAAATTAATTAGGGAGACATTCTGTGTCATAACACAGCTGGTCAATATAGGTGGCTGCTGAGCGAGCATCTTGTCTTGTTTCATGGCTAGGTGTCCAGAACAGTTGACCACTCGCGAGTTCTTGTTTTGCTTGCCAGCAGTGTCCTGTAATGTACATTCTGCGTTCGACGTTTCGAATCTTAAATAGTTAAATTTTGGGTGGAGGGGAGATAACGGTTTAGTCATATACAAGTCTTACTATTTAACCCATAGCTCAACGAGAAGAGGTGGATTGATAACTTTCCCAAGGATATTTGCGCGTGAGTGAATATCACGCACACAATGGTAATTGGAACTCGGCTCTGCGATTAACAATTCTGAGCCATTATCCATTACAGTATCCGCAAATCCAAGCTTACAAAACCTGGTATTCCCAAGCGGTCACCCATCTAGGTACTGACCAGGCTCAACATTGCTTAACTTTGATTTATAGAAATATTAGGGATCGACCCATAGAGTTGTGATTTAGTTGGATGTGGTCTCCAGGAGATGTTAAATATAGCTAGCAGCATCCGAGTCTAGGTGCCACCAAGCTTAGATCGTAGGGTTTTAGTTAATGTCAAAACAGTGGCACCGTACATTAACACCGTCTCTAGAGTGGCTCGAAAGTATCTCCGTTTGAGGTTGTACATCAGATTTCCAGATTACACCCATTTTATTCAAGACGGTCAGGCTATGCGAATTTTCGCATCCTTTTCAATAGAATTTATCTCGCTTTCTAAGTATGTAAAAAATTTGATAGATTTTATTGATTGACCTGAGACAGTTTTTATTGAGCTTTTCTTATATATGGCAAAAGGTCACAAATGTGAAAAACGTAATGAAAATTGAATTCGCTGTGTAATAATAACAGTCAGTGGAAGAATTTCGCTAAATATTAACGACTTCTGTGCATTATAATAGATATAAATAAATAATTTTGAATTCAGAGAGGAAGTATTTTCATTATTCGTTGTTGGCTAATCTTTTCACCATATTATTGCTTCTTATCATATGTCTTTTATGTCGTTTTGTTTATGTTTTTTAATCATTTCACCCCAAGCAAGGCAAGAATGCCACTAGTACACTACAGGGAGTGAAAGTGAGAAAAAAGAGTGAGTATAAGGTGGATTGAGGACAGGACAAAAGATGAACGGGATTCGAGACAGAAGATGGCGATTGACGTTGCATTTAAATTTTTCAAGATTGTAGTTATCAGGGAAGCAAATAAATGGTGGGTGGGGAGTTCCACAGGCGGGAAGTTCGATAAAAAAAATTGTTAGAGTAGAAGTGGCGGTTGCATTTAACTATTTCAACAGTAAACGGGTGGGACCTAGATGCCAATCTTAGTAGCTCGCTTAGATTCATGTAGTCGGGGCACCAGAGGAAAAAAGCTTATCAGAGCAGTTGCTATGAAAATATTTGTAGAAAAGAAAGAGGGAAGACACTCCATGTCGGTGAGGAAGTGATTGAACTCGAAATGCCGAATCAGGATCAGTTACATTGCAGATCCTTCTTTGGATTTTGTCAAGAATCTTCAAATGAATAGTGGGAGCACCAGACCAGATATGACAAAAGTATCCAATGCACGGGCGAATGGTAAATTTGTCAATGTGCAAGATGGATTCCGACGAGAAAAATCTGGCACGATACAATGATCCATCTTTCCTTGCAGTAGATGCAGCTTTTGATTCGATGTAGTCGCCCCACTTCTAGTCAGTAGAAAGCGTGAGGTCAAGATGGCGCAGTGTGTTGTTCTCTGATTTATATAGAGTTATTGACCATTATTTACAAATGTTTGAAAAGGAACTAAGATCAGAGATCGATTTAACACAGTGTCGATACTATAAAGAGGACCCCCTTCTAAATCGATTACAAATCAATATTTTTCGATTCAGATAAGCGTCGTGGTCCAAGGAAGGTCTAAAACTACTAAAATTATCCCTGCAAATATTCCCTATATTTTATGAGCGGACCAGTCTTTTTTTAAGTAGATCATTTAAGACTATGGAAAGTATGATAAAAACAATATGATGAAAAGACTAGTGGAAAAAAACAATAGTGGAAATACTTCATCTCGTCTATTTAACTTGTGCCATCCTTAAAGTAATTGAATTCTGAGGGATAGTTTTTTACACTAGTTAGTTTTGATTAATCTTCATGTCATCATTGCGTTTTATCAGAGCCTAACTATTCAATTATTTGAATTCAGAGATGAAGTATTTTCACTATTGATGTTTTGCTTGTGTCTTCATCATCTTATTGTGGGTTTTTATTACAACTTCCTAGGCTGACTACTATACAAACGTTAAAGTTAGGAATTGGGATACGAAATTCGTTTCCTTTCGATGAGATCTGAACTCGCATCCCATATCTGAAAGGTTTATCTTTCATGAACAACAGCTCATCCAGTTCAGCTAAGGAAGCTATAAACGTCTTATTATTGCCACTTTCACGCTATATTCTTTGGTTTTTAGTACCCAAGACTAACTATAATTATTTAGAAATTAACAGTGGAAGGGTATTCGTCATCTTCATAGCTTAACCACAGAAAAGAATTGTGTCGAGTGACTAACGAGCCAAAGTGGAGAAATCAGCCATAAATCAGAGAGAGAGGGTAATTTTTTAAAATCCTTTCACCCAAACCAAGACGATAATGCTACGAAGACGCAAGGGGTTACTTGGAGCGAAAGAGAATGAGCAGACATTAGTGAGGAGAAAAAGACAATAAAAGAACGGATTCAGGAAGACAGAAGATGACGAATGACATTGCATTTACATTTTTGAAGATCGTAGGTGGTAAGGAACGCAAGAAAACGGGATAGATTTCCACAGGCGAAAAGTGCTAGAAAATAAACTATTAGAATATAACTTACGGTTAACAACTAGCTCATTCAACAGTAAAACGACGAGGCCTTGTAGCCAATCCAATAGTACACTTAAATTTATTAAAAACATGAGAAGTCGGAGGTGATCAGACAAAATGGATTTTTTGTTTAACTGAAGAAGAAACTTTATATCTTGTTTATCCTCCTCAAGCCATCAACATTTTAAATCAAGCGAAAAATTTTAACCGAAACGACTTTCGGTTTTCTAAGACGCCCGCCCCACCTCGTTCCGCCATCCATTCTTACAAGCTCATCAAGTAAGTGATTCGCTGCCATCCCTTAAACTCTTGCCCTCAGTATGCCACGTGAGGGTTAAGTTTTCCAAGCCATTCCTTCCCCATTATGCGTCCAATTTTTCCCGATTTTGAGTGTGTTCTTTCTGTTACCATTTTCTTTAACACTTCCTCATTGTTTACTCATCCATGAGAATTCTCAGTATCCTTCTGTAGAACCACATTTCTGCTGCATCTATTTCTTTTCTCATCATTAGAAATACTCACTGCCATAGACGAGCAATCCAGCGATCTTTTCTTTATTTCTAAAGAACGTCAAAAGTTCGAACAATTTTCTACGTTCCTCAGTCAATCAGTTATGTGCCATGCGTGATACACGCTTAGGCGATCATGTATATTTCGATACATTACTGACGAGGCAGATTTTTTTCCCACAGTAGACCAGTTGCCATTCAAGGCTGTAGAACTCGGTCTGTCCTGCTATTTACTCATAGCTGGAGAGAGAAGAAGAGCTCATAACTTTCACAAGGGTATTAGCACGTAAGTGAATGTAATGGATTCGACTGGAATTCGAACTCGGCTCTCCAATTCCACAATACCAGCCGCTATCCATTTCTCCACGTGCCTATGTAATCCTTAGAAAATGAAGAAAATAATTACATTTGGCACTGTATCGAGCTGAAATTATCACTCAAGATATCTATTACTGAGTTTAGCACAAAACCTCGAGTGTGCGGCACTCAGTGCAACGCTCAGTGAGAATCGAACTCACTACAGTACAAATGGGCTGAGAGAATAGCGTTTTGCTACTCAGAGAAACGATTTACATCATAACAATCGTTCATACATGCATGCATATGCCGTTCTGATTTCTCACTTTCCCGTGGAGTTATTTATAGAACAAACCTGACTCACTGCGCATGCGTGTACACAGAAACCAGGACGACCAGGACAAAATGGCGGGGAAAATTAAAGATAAGATTTGCTTCGTGAGATGGAAAGTAAATGAAACAATTATACTCTCTGAATGCTGACGTGTGTGACATTTGACGAGTGAGAAATTCCCGCTCCGCCCAGCTCTCAAATATCTGCAGTTTACTGATATTAACTGCAAATATTAAGAAAAGCTTTTCTTCTCTCTCTGTGTTTCTTTGGCTTTTTGTCATTCTCTCTCGTGCAATTAGGAGGTAGA